GCTTGGCCATGTCGTTGGAATGAACACCGGAGCTCCAGCTCTGAAAGTATTCAACTCGGAACCCGCTGGTGGTAGCAGAGGAAGAGGGAGGCCCCCACTGCGATGGAAAGATCAGGTGGAGAAGGACTTGGCTTCACTTGGCGTTTCCAATTGGCGTCAGTCGGCGCAGAGGAGAAACGACTGGCGTGCTTTGCTGAACTCGGCCAAAATTGCTTCGGCGGTTACAGCTCCAAAAAAAGAAGGTATGCAAATCTATTGTCGGCCGCTGTGGTGTAGTGGTAAGCAGTGCACGCGTTCACTCATCAGCACCCTGGTCAAGGCAACATCGCAAAAAATATATAAAAAGGTTTTTTCTTAACAGCGGTCGTCCCTCTGCAGGCAATGGCAAACCTCCGAGTGTATTTCTGCCATGAAAAACAGCTTCTCATAAAAAATAGAATCGCCGTTCGGAGTCGGCGTAAAACTGTAGGTCCCTCCGCTTTGTGTGACAACATCAAGGCGCACACCACAAGTCGGAGGAGAAGCTCGGCCAAACACTTACATATGTGTAAGCGCCAATCTATTATTATTATTATGCAAATCTATTACTCAAAATTCTGAAAAGCTATTAAGAAAGTGTTTGGATGCACAAAATCGAATACCTGCTACTACGAAAAATCTTAGTCATCTTTAACTACCGGACTTGCAGTATCGAGGGTATGAAACTATGGTTAGGCATGTTATATACCGTTGGAAAGGTTATTGTATATACTTTCCCATATAAGTTTTATTTTCAGGTTTCAGAAACACCTACACAATAATACCAAAACAAAAATTAAAATAAGTCATATATTAAAAATTAAAAAAAAAACGCTGTTTCGAGTTACTAGACGCTCATTTTGATAGATAAACAAGTCGCATCCCACTAAGCGACCAAAAAACTCTTAAAGAAAAATACCTAAGGTTTCTTGTGAGCAAAAAAAAAACAAAAATATTACCCCTTTTAAAAAAAAACATCAAAATTATTTTTTATTTAAAAAAAAAATTGCAAAACAATTTATTTTAATTCAAAAAAAATTAAATTTGTAAAGACTGAAGGGAAAGCTATCGAAAACATTCCTGAACAAATTTTCTAAATACAATAGGTAATTAGTAATATGGATCCGAAAAAAGGACAGTTTGACCAAAATGTCAAACTTCTGGACCCTCCAACTCGGAGTGTGTTTGACCGATCCCGCTGAAATTTTCTGTCATAGCTAATATTTATTAGGACTAACCTTGGTGCAAGTTTCATCCTGATCGGGAGACATCGATTTCAAAAGTTGTGTCACTTGATGTGAAATGTCCCATATGGATATTAGCTCATAATTTAAAAAAAATATGGCTGTTTTAAAGAAGCAATGAAAAACCAACTAATTAATTTCCTAATTGCAAATCAAACCACAACTGAATTAAAATGAAAATTTAAATATTATAATATGATATTTAATATTATGAATTGGTCTGAATAAAGGAATTTTAAAGGCCGGAAGGATAATGATAAACAAATGAATGTAAATTTGATTCATTAGAAATTCCATTGTTGAAACCAATTAATCCTTAAAAAGGAAAGCTGTAACCGTGATACTTGCCAACTTATTTTCCTTTGGAAGGGAGGTGTAGTGGCACCTTTAGGAAATTTATATATAAGTTGTTATCGATGTAATTAAAAAATAATAATCTGGCGGCGGTGCTAGTTTCTAAGGAGATATTATAATAAAACAGTATGCTATCATACTGTAGACCGAAAAGACGTGTTTGATTGTCGAGCTCTGGCTGAGCGAATATATTTGACCATTAAAGTAGACCCCACACGTCCATCACCCCCCGTATCGCGACTAGCCTCCAAAAGTATACGAAACTCTTACAGCTTAACTGCAACGGACTCCAGAACAAGATTAAAGGGATAGCAGTCTTTATGGGTCGGCATGGCATATTTATAGCTGCGGTCCAAGAAACGAAGTTGCACAGCAACTCAACTTGCGCCGCCTACAATGTGCTCCGTAAAGATCGTGAGCGAGATAATGATGGTGGATTATCATTCATCCTACACCACACAGTGCAGTATCGGCTTATCAAAGAAGACATCGACCCGAAGGACACTACCCTAGAGTGTTAGGGCATAGCTGTCCGGTGAGACGATGTCTAGCTCGAAATATTTTAACGTGTATATTCCCTCTAACACCTGCTTCCCGGCAGGATATCACCCTGATATAGGTGCGCACTCAGGCCTGGCTAATGATCGTAGGGAAAACCTTCTGGCTGAGCAGATAGACGATTCGACATTCTTCACCATGAACAATGACGCCCCCACCAGGATTGTCGACAGGTGCAGCAGTTCGCCAGACCTAACAAGTTTTAGCGCTGGTCTGGTAAATAGCATATCATGGCGACCTATGCTAACACTTGCCTCAGACCATCTGCCCATAATCATCTCGAACA